TCACTACGGCTGTCATCATTCCTCGAAGTACTTCGGCTGTCGTCACGCCTACGACTAGTATGATGGTCGCTGGAGCGACTCCTGCTACGACTGTCATCATCACGACGACGTTCATATGGAGATCGGGAACGATCCCTGAAAAGAAGGGTTGGTCAGGCGTTAGTAATGATGAAGACACACTATACCTGGAGTTCCTCCTGTCCCTCGAAGAACCTCGACGATCCCCTCCATAAGGAGAGGGACCAGAACTCGTATAGCGGCTATCGCCACCATAACGATCGTCATAACGATCATAAGAACGATCACCATAGCGTCCACCACCGTATCCACCACCATAGCCACCCTTACCGTATCCTTTACCCCTGACCAAAGAGCGTGATGATGCATTGTGGCAGTAGATGGCAGTGATAATAGCAGCACTCACCCCTTGCCATAACTACTCTCCTTATTGTACATGGCAGCAGCTACTGTAATGCGGTTCCCTTGGAACTCCTTATTATCCATATCGCGAATGGCATCCTCAGCATCACGACGCTCATAGAACTGATTATAAGGAATAATCCTTAAAAGAAGTAGGCACTGACTGTACGCACTCTAACGAAGCCGAATCCCCTACTAACACCAGTATAACGATCGACTGGGATGAAGACATCTCCAATTTCACCGAACCTGAACAGAAAACGTTTGAGACTACATATGCAACATAAAGTGATCTGAGTAGGAGCGCGGTAGTGGGCTGTTGATATTGCGATACCGATGTCCTACTGTATGCAGCAGCAGCCACAACAACAGCAAGAAGAGCCACGGCCACCGCCGCCGTCGCAGCACGGGAAAGAAGAAGTTAAAGGATCAGCAGCCACGGCTGGTAATGTCCGGGATTATAACAGGAACATCGACTTGACTGCCAATAGTAGCAGCAGCAGCAGGCACGTATTGTACTAGATACCGAACTGTCGGTCGGATGCTGGCTGGTTACGAGTTCATGGAGTGATGCCTCGGTTCATGATCCTTATGATCATCGAAGCGAATCTATGAGCATTCTAGCCTTGATTGTGCTACTGTTGTCCACTGCTCTTTCCTCAGAGTTTCATCACTAGTATCAAACATTATCAGGTAAGGTAGTACTACTTCGAGAAGGCCTCACGTAGGTCATCCTTCCTCACCCTCTCATCGATACCATCAACCTACAATAACAATGTACTTTTGATAATATGTCTCATCCTACCTTAACGCTGAAGAGGTCGTTGAGTTGTCCAATGTTCATGATGTCTTCGACAATAACAACGGAGAAGGGATGCCAATTTAACTACAACTACCTACTATCGCTGCTGCTAACCCACCGCCTCTCTAAGCGTGCAGTCTAACGCAAAAGACGGGCGTTGAATAGAAAAACGGTTGTACTATGACGGAGGGCGAGGGTTATGGCGTAATACCGGAAGAGGAGTAGAGATGGGCCCAGCACGTAAGGGATGCATTTGACGTGCTGATGATGATGATGTTCCCTCATCTTTGGCAACAACTTGGGGCTCGGGTGCCTTAACCACCTCGCTCTCTGGGAGTGGCTTTAAGTCTGGCATCTTCTCGGTTTTTCGTCTATTCCACGAATGTGTATCAGACTTGATAGAGAGGAACTCTTCAGCATCAGCAGCCAGGTATCTGTAATAGGAAGGAAACTATCGAGTAAGAAGAGGAGCATACACACGCTCATCTTACATATTAAGTGGATCGTGGAAGAAACACCGATACAACCCCCGAGCTTGTGCCCTCCCTTCCATCTCCGAGACGCTAGAGTCTATTCGGGGACTCCCAGCCCGAGCCTCCTTCTCCTTCACTCCCTCTGATGATGATGTTGAGGGCGTTGGATGAGGGATGAGGCCCTCCTTAATGGTGTCGGTAATTGATGTCTCAAAGCCTTTACTCTCCTCCAGAGTAAAGCTATCACGGATGACCTTACGTAAAGCATCAGCATCGATGGCTCGGTACCTACATAAGGTGGGATTCGGAATTATTCCGCAGCCACCAGCATCCCTCCTGGACCATATTACGGCGACTTCTTCAATGTAGAGTAAATATACTCGGATACTCGGTCCTCCTCCTCCTCCTCCTCCTCTGATGTTGTTGAAACGCTTGGAGAGGCTTCATCTTCGTATCCTTTACGAAGGTAACTACAGAATACCATGAGTTCCTATACCTCGAAATGCATGGCAATCGATACTGTTTAGATACGATCCAACGCGTTTGCTACTACTGTTGTTGCTCACGCTACTTACATATTATTGCCAGGAACGAATAGATCGGTGAGTAGAGGTAGCTCATGGTCAGGATTAACTCCATTAGTAGCTAGATACTCCCTAGCTGTATCCAGGGGATAACGCCTTTGAGGGCAGCTCCTGAAGAATGCTGTCACGATGGAGCTCCGAGACTAATCATTTTACTCAGGCGTGGTGAGCATAGTAAGCAAGTTATTGGCCACTTCCGCTTTATTAACATTGAGTCGGCACCAATTGTCGAAGTTGAAGGTCATCTCCTGTATCTTGGCTTCTTCGGTTCTGTCATCATCTTCAGGCCATGTCACTACACCCTCGAGTGACTGCCGCAAGAACATGTAATCAGGCTCGTAGAATACTCGAGGGAGTCGAGCAAGCACTTCACGTAGAGGTCCCAACCTAAGC